CTAAAAAGAGTTATACAATGCCAAAGGGCTCAAATTGTTGAGTAAAATTATTTTATGAAAAATCCAATATGGCCGCTGGTTGCGAGGCATGCACCTGGGTTGGCATTCAAAGGGTTAATTAAAAAAAAATGGGGGAAAAAGGTACCCTCGACCCTGGTACCCTCCGCATTGTACCCTCGCCCTCGACATGAAACCTTCGACTCTCTACCCTCGACAAAAAGATAGACTCAAATTGGCCATCACAGAGTTTTTAAAGAAATCCTCTGTAATCTGTGACCTTACTTTATCAAGATGCACGAGTGAAAAAAAAAGAAAAAATGTACCACGTAGGACATTTGACCATTGATCCATAAGTTTGCCTGTCAAGAATGTTATGAAAAAATTATTATATTATTTATTATTTATCATTTTAAATAGTTTTAGCAGGCAAATGATGATTGACAAGGTTATTTTATAACCAAATGCGTTCGCACCAAGAAACAATTAAAAAACATGGAAATCATTTTGACTTCCTGACCCAAACTTCTGAGTTACAACAGTGAGAAAAATCAGCGATTGATATACAAATTTCTCAGGTCATTATTTTGTTTTCTTTATGCACAGAAATTATGTTATGGTTTATCATTGCTTCCGTTGTTTAATGTCTGTGCATCTTCTCTTTGAAATATCGGTATCGAAACCGGGTTAGTCAAATCCTCGTCTTTCAGCACACTGATGAAACGTCGAGAATCTACATTGGCTACCAAAATGAGTTCAATTGTATTTTGACAGATGTCCTTTCAAAGGAGATAATAGATGCAAAATGTTATCGAACCGAAACACTAGTGTCAGCTAGCAATATTTTAGTTTCCCAATGAGTAATGAAGTAACAACAGCGGCGAAATGTTGGAGTTTGATTCCGAGCTGTTCTTCCGAGTGGCTCTTTTCGCATTTCTTATTCCAATAGGTTCCGGTGAGTTCTCTTTATCACTTGATATCTTAGCATGCGCGTTAAGTTCTCAACGAATCCACAAATTGTTTTTGGCAGCGATTCCGAAGAGATGGAGTAGCCAAATTTCATTTCCCTTCCTTTAATTAACTAACTGTCGTGTCCGACCGCGAAATCTCAAGTTTATTTACACATTTTCTTTGAAGCTGAAACATCTGACAAGTCTTTTGAAATTTACAGAATGAGTTTCGGAGAATCATGTTTGCAATTTTTCAAACAGCATGAGTTACTTCCTGTTAAGGTCCTAGCGCCCCATCGCTTTTTTTTTCAGTTTTTGTATTAACCTAATCTTGTCTACTTTGATTTCACGATATTTATGAAACGGTAACTTGAAACACTCCTTTGTCGGAAAAATGAACAAGCTCACTTCGTTGTCGTTAAAAGTATGGCGGTATCCAAGCTACTCGGGTATTACTCAAAGAAAGGCATCTTCAAAAGCGATAATACAGAATTTCGACAATGTCGATTACTTTCACTTCGAACAGTTTTCGCACCGTATCGAACCTTTCCTTGAATTGACGAGCTGTCTAAATTTCTTGAACTTCACAAGTTTGTACCATTCTGCAAATTTGGCACTGATTTCAAAATAAACCCTATGTTCTGAGCACAAAGAAGTTGATTTTGTGATGAAGAATCCGTCCTTTCCATGCTGGCGCTTCAGGAGATTGCACCATCTGATTCACTGCTGGACGTCATTCGGAAACGAGTAGAAATGCTGACCTGTTGGATTGCCTGTTGTGTCATAATAGCCATTAGCACAACAAAAAAGCGGCACAGTGTTTTCCTCTTCTTTTCGAAGAAGAAGGAGGAATATCCTGCGTGGGGAAAGTATCGTTCATTGTCGAAATATCTCGATGAAAAAGACAGGG